ACATTCCAGGAAGTTTTGCATGAGAACAGTAGATGGTCAACACTTTTCCTCATACTTTCCACAGAAACCGACTTGACCCGCGAAGGCTTGTTCATTTAATTGATTATGTTCCAACCTGTAGAAAGCATATTTCAAAAGACAAATTTGTAGTTCCAACATTAATGGTGATTGGTACACATGAAATAAAGGTTAATTTTAATTTTATCCTTTTATCACCCCACTTGTAGTATTTCAGTCTGTTTCCCCAGGTCTTCCCATCCAAATCCCAAGTCACCTGTTGCCAAAATTAACCCGTGCACAATTGCACTTTTCTTTTTTTATTGATCATTAGTACACATGAAATAAAAGTTAATTTTAATTTTATTAAATATTTAATAAAAATTATATAAAATCCAACAATGAAATGAAAGAATACATTCCATTTCCCCAGTCAGAAAATTACATAAAGAGAGAATTTAGCTCTCTCTGGGTATTCCTATTCCTATTTCGTTGTCTTTGTTCAGAGGAGTCTTTCCTTCCAAGTAGACCACTTTGTGGTTGAATTTTTTTTTTTTTAATGGTGAAGGTGTTATTATCTCAATTTTTTGTGTAATTCAAAATTAATCCATCTCTCAATGATCTTAGGAGCACACTATTGCATCCTTTATATCTATATAATATATTTAATGAAATTAATTATTTTAAGTGTAAATTTAAAATTTAAAATTTATATTTATCTTATAAAATAATATTATTTACTAATTAATTCAACCATTTAGCTTAATATATGAGTAGACGTCACATACTCATCAAATTTTACTCATCTACAAGTAAGTCTTCTGTTTGCTGAAGAGTATAAATCATTTATTTGTTTCGAACTTGACCAAAACTTGGATTACGGGCACCATATTTTCGTCAAAAGTCTTTTTTCTTTTGCTAACTTTACCCCACTGGACCCTATTGACTTCTTCCTAAACTTTCCCAAAAGTACATTGAACCATTTCTGCCCGTTTAATTATGGTAAAAATCAACATTTAACCCCTCACTTTATAAATTTAGTAAGTTTTAATTTTTTTACTTTATAATATAATAATTTTAACCATTTATCTTATAAAATTGTTAAGTTTTAGTCCATCACCTTATAAAATTGATAAATTTTAACCTCTTACCTTCTATTATAATATTTTTAACCCCTTACCGATATGAATTAAAAAAAATATGTCTCAAATAATATCAGGTTATAACGTTCTGTTAGTTGACTGTTAATATCCGTTAGCATCCCGTTATAAAAAATATAAAATTTAAATTCAATTTTATTTGTTAATTTTATTAACAAAATGTTAACAGATGCTAATAGTAAATTAACAGAACTGACAGTCAACTAACAAAATTAATATAATATACATAAACTCATAATTCTTAGCTGGGGCTCACCGCAGACCAATGGAAAGATTTTTTTTTTTTTTTAACAACAAAATAAAATATTTTTTTTATTGTTTTGGACTATATGGATTAACTCACCTTGCTCGCTTTCAGTCTGTTTCTCCCGATTTTGTTTTGTCTATTGTATTCTCGGATACAGCAGAGTGTTATTTCCACTCAATAAAAAAATATTATATATATATATATTTTTTTTTTTGTTGGTGATTTATGAAGTGTGAAAAATATATTGATGTGGTGTAAATAGATTGAGTCGGAACTTGGAATACCACGTCTACCGTATCCAAGGATACAGCACTTCCTCGTGTCCCCCACCCCCAAGTCTTCCCATCTAGATCCCCAGTCAATGTTGAGAATATTTGTAAAAATAATAAATAAAGGAGTGAAAAGAAGCATGGCAGAATCAACGGCTGCAGGTCAGTTTTTCTAGTTTGGGATTTACTCAGGATACCTGGTTTGTTCAGAGGGAACTTAGCTCCTTCTATCTATTGTTATTCTGTTGTCTTTGCTTGTTCTTGAATTTGGAATCTCTCTCCAAATGGCTCCTGCTGCTGTATCCTTGTTTCTTTTTCTGGTTCTCACCTCTCTTGAAAATCTTCACTCAGCTGGTGAAGAAGAGTGGTGGGCTAAAAAGTGCCCGCCCTTTAAATGCGGTAATTTTGCTGCACCTGGGTTCCCTTTCACTGATAAGGGACGCCCAGAGTGTGGGTTGTTTCTAATTGATGGGTGCAATGAAACAATTCAGAAGATCCAATTGGAGAAGGGGGGAGGAAGATGGTATCCAGTTGAAGGAATATCCCAACTAGGGAACATTACCATTCATGACGATGTGCTTTTACTATCTCCTGATTGTGAATTCTCTGCCAATTTGCCTCTTTCCAACCTTAATTTTACCTCTTTCCATGTTCTTTCCAGAGTTGATATTCTCAGTTGTAGCAAAGGCCCTCCAAAAGATGCCATCCCAAAAAACTTCACTCTCAGTCCCAGAAGCTGCAACAACCGCAGTGTATACTATAGGATCCATGATGGATTAGATTCGGATGCCAAATTAAATGTAGCTTCGAATTGTTCTCTTATAATTGATTCCCCAATTAAAAACCTTTCACACTCCAATGACCTCTTTACACCATTGACTGCCAACTTATCTTTCAGTGTTGAATTCCATCCTGATCTTCTTTGTG